GAGCTGCTGGGCACTTCTTCTTGCCCACTAAAAGATCCTGACTTCAAGAAAATATGGACAACTTTCACTCCAAAATCAAGCGTCATGGGGCACACTTGATTTTGATGGTTAAACTTTTCTGAAAATCTTGGCCCTTTTGTCCTAAATTCTTCTAAGATACTTGTGACTTTCATACCCTTGGTGCTCATTTATAAGTGTGTTTTTCTGCAAATAGGAGTACCTGGACAGCTATCTTCAGTGTCATCTTTATAGCACTGTATTACAGATTTCAGTAAAGGTGCCATTGCAGTCTGATTGCTAAAGTGATTTGAACCAGTTACTGTGGCGTTATGGAGTGTGAAATTGTACATGAAGAAATCCAGAAGACAGCTTAAGAGAGAGAACTGAAAAAAAATAGGAAGTCTGATAGATTAAAACACGGATGCAGGCACTCGGGCTAACACCTCTAAAGGTGTCTCAACTATGGAAGTTGCGTTGCTAATTTCTGTATCGGCATTTGGAATTAACTTTAAAATTGCCAATAATAAAGATATTGAAGACAGTAACAATATGTTCCTGTTCCTATAGCATTTTTCAGTAAAGATCTTGGAGTACTTTCCAAACAGGAATTAGTAGATCCTCACAACAGCTGTTGTAAAGTATATCAGTAATGTGCCTTTCTGAGCAATTTTCTACTACGCTTATTAACATTACATTCAGCACAGGAGACCAAACCTTGCACAGGGGTTTTACTGTTGATGTAGTTGCTTTTTACTTCATGCTTTTTTGGAAATGGAGCTTATTTTTCTGAAGTCTGTCTATGTAACTTGTCTCTGTTTGTTTCGCAGTGTAAAAAGCACCGCTTGTCAGTCGGCCATACGAACAGCTATGCTAAATCGGTTGTAAACATGGCAGATTTAGTAAGTATCACTCAACTAAATGTTCTTTTACGTGTGAGATGAGTTATACGATTCTCCTGCCGATAGATGCAGGAGTTGTCAATTCATGGTATACCTAATAATAACATATGTGAAGATCACAAATTTTCATCTAGAACCACAGTCAACCATCTATAAAGCCTTTGTCTAACATAAAGCATTACAGGTTTTTTGTGGCTTCAAACATTTAAGTATCCTGCTGGATCAGTCCCTTGAGTCTGAGTTTTAAAGAGCACCTTAGATATGACAGTTTTTAACACAGGATCCCTATGCTGACAACCTGAAACTCAAAAGACAATCTGAAATTAGAATGCACTAAAATTTTTCCAGAAAAAGCGCATTTGAGTAAATGAGTTAGAATGGGGACATACAGGTGGATTATGTGGATTATATCTGTGACACTAAATTGGATGAGCTGCTGGCTCTTGCAGCTCACCCCAGAAAAGTATTACTAGAAAAAGAACAATGTGGTTCCCACTCTTGAAAGTATTTGGTTTGGAGTATTAACCCCCAGCATTGAAAGGATGGCCCTTTTTTCATGATTCAGCTAGCGTGAGGTTAAATACCCCTGTAGGAGTGTATAACAGTGAAAATGCTAGTTTTATAGATCGCTATTTGGTATAAGAGAGCCCTCGTGTATCACTGGGGTGAGCTGAACATTATGAAAGACCCATTAATTCCAAATCTTTGAACTATTTCAAATGGGTCTGTAGTAATTTTTCAAAAATCCCATCTCCCTTCTATGCACCTCTGCCTGTGTAGCACCTGTGAGGGATCTTTTTGCAGGCTGAGAGAGCTGATTGAAGAATTAGGCTTAAAATTTAGATTTTACTTTGTTTTCATGTTTGTTGGTTTTAAGGAAGATAAAATCACCTGGGAGACCTAAAGTGTGCTAGAACAAGCTAAATATTTACTTATGTAAAAATGCAAGCTATTACAAAAAAGAGGTAAAACTCACTTTTATTCTATTTGACATAATATATTTGTTCATTCTGTTAATGTACTAGATATATAAAGAACAACTTAACACCAGGATAGTATTGGTTGCCATGGAAACCTGGGCTACTGATAACAAGTTCACCATATCTGAAAACCCCTTGGTGACCCTACGTGAGTTTATGAAATATAGGAGGGATTTTATCAGAGAGAAAAGTGACGCTGTTCACCTTTTTTCGTACGTAACCTCGTGTGATGTTTTATTACTGGGGTTTTTTCTTTCCTTGGGGGTTGCTTATCACAAGTGGCTGATGCATCTCCTTTCTGTTGTGTGTGTAACCCACAATAATTCAGAAAATAATATTTCTGATGGGGAGGTGGGAAAAAGTTAATGCACAAACTGCCTGCCAGTGCAACTAGAGGTTTGACTCTCATTTTAGTTTTAACGTACTAAGCCCGAGCTGCATGCGCATGCATCCTTGGTTATTCTGTGCAATTACCTACTCTGCAAGCGCAGCTGCCTGGAAGCTGATGCATGGTTCCACCTCGGAGGTTGGCTTCTTTGGCAACAGAGCACGGACGACAGCCCTGTTATATTATTTAAAAGCAGAACATTGGTTTTGAAACCAATGAGGTTTCCTGCTTAAAAAGCACTATGGCCTGCTTTACTTTGTTGAATGACCTGCATGCTGCAGGATTACTGAAGTGTTTCAGATCCTCAAAACAGTTTGTTCTCCAGAGAGACGTGCTATAAGAATAAGCTGGGAGGAATGTTATTTTCTCTAAATCTATTAATTGTTTTGGAAATAAGATTGATATAACGAAATATATCTACAAAAATAGAGGAGAGGTTCATGGCTGAGATTTTTGATCCACACGAGACGGAGCAGGTGAATTGCTCTGTGGAGTCCTTATCCCTCTCTGCTGACTGTTGTAGGAGCCTATATGAATAAACTTAACCTAAACACTGCACTTTCACATGACTCTGGTAGGGTGCCAGGATACCCAGCCCCAGTATCCACCCTCTCAGAATTTTTGCATGTGCTTAATTACTGTCATTAACTTCTGCCATGAAAAGAGCTAGCAAGATCTGCAAGTACCACTTGCAGATTTTGGTTCCTCTGTGTCTCAGTTCTTCATCTGTAAAATGGGAATCAGGTTTTCTCACATCTTTTGTGTATCTTCTCTGGTGATATTGTAAGGTCTTTGGGGAAAGTCTTGTTCTTATGAATGCTTGTGGATTGGCTAGGACAAAGAGGGCCCTATTTGCCCTGTGACTGGGACTCCGGATATCACTGTAATGCTAATTCCAGTGCTGTCCGTAACACCACCACTCATGTTTGAGGTATTGCATTCATAGACTGTTTAGAAATAACAGTTTCTGAAATTGTGTCTGTGAGTGAGACACGGCTAAGTTGGGAGGTGAGGCTGGCTGGTATGATGGTACACGGGTTACAACTTAACTTCTGCCTTCAGCACAGCCCATTGTGTTGTTTCTTGATGTTTTTCTGTTTTCCTTTGAAAAAAACAATTTACCGCAGCTCGGATGGATCAGTACTCTGAAGTGGAGCAGAGTATATTTTGTCTCCAGTAACTGGCCATCATTCAGGCTGACATGGTCAGCACCAAAGAGATGATTAGATTTAGGCTCAGAGCGTATCTGTCCCTTGGATGGGATCAACTGCAGCTCCAGGGAGTTTTCACCTACCTCTGCATCAGGGACCCACTAATGCATCTCCCTTTGAGTTTTGCTATATCAGCATTGCCCAGCTAGACATGTGTCTTTTTACTAGTCACCCATGCGTTGGCAGCGTGGTGGCCTCTCCTGTGCTCTGTCTGTAGCACATGCTAGCGGAAGTCACTTGCTGCAGTAGTATGTCAACGAACAAAAGGCTGGTGAGATTCAGGTGGTTTGGCAAAACAGTCCCCTTATGCTTTCTTATATTAGGTAGTCTGAGAAGGAGGAGGGAAGATGGTATAACTTTTCTGGATGTAATTTGTCATGTGAGGTTTGTGAGTGGTTATCTGTTTTTCCCATTTTGTTTTTGCATAGTTTTCAGCGTAGTGGTGGCAGCCAGCATTTGCAAATGCCAGTTTCTCATTTGAAAATCAGAAGGGTAAATACTGAGATGGATAGGTGCAAAACTCATGGGCTGAGCAGGGTAAACTTTCTTTTCTTTTCCTTTTTGTCAAAGGGGGAGTCGATTTCAGAGCAGTCGGAGTGGTGTAGCCCATACTGGTGGAATCTGCTCCTTGCTTAAAGGCGGAGGTGTGAATGAGGTAGGTGGGGATACTGGTATGAGCAAAAAGTGGTGGAAATTTATCTGCACAGAATTTATCAGTGCAGACGTGTTCCTCAAAATATCTTGCTGCTGCTTTGCTGATGCAGAGTTTTAGTGCAGCTCTATAGAAGGGATGTCTTAATGAAGAGTGATGAGTGAATAAAGTCAGATATGGATTCAGCTACACTTTTCAGCAGATTCTGCAATATCCTGTCATTCACACTTGCAGCCAGAGTGGCAAGAAGGAAACAGACTTTCTCTTACTTAACTTGTCCATAAGCCAGCCAGTTTTCCTCACTTCTCCATTATCTAGCTGCTCTAAAGTAAGAACTCTTAACGCTGTGAATCTGATTTTGCCTTTTATTGCCTTGAAATGAGAAAAGCTTCATTTGTATCTGAGATACCTGTATGTAACTGATTACTCTTCCTACCTTGCTTGTTTCTTTCAGTTTGGAAAGCCAGACTTAATGGCAGTTACTCTGGCACAGACCTTGGCCCAAAATATTGGCATTTTCTCAGACAGAAGAAAACTTCTGAGTGGTAAGTTTGTTTGCTTTTTCAGTCTGTCTCAAGAGAAAATCTTAAAAGGTGGAGGATCTTATCAGTGTCCCTCTGATATGTATTTTTTCCCCATGTTGCTCACAATGTTGGAATATTTTTCTTGTAATAACATGAAGAGAGACTGACATATCATTAATTTTCCTCTATTTAAATGCTGTGATATCCCCCTGCCCATAACTGCTAGCAGCACTGGTGTCACCATTTCATTAAAAATAAATCATAAAGGTGTCTGCCACTTCCATTCATTTCAGGGAGATCGATGTCACACCCACGGACTGAATGGCTGCCATCTTATGGCGCAAAGGTAGAAACATCCATTATTAGACCTGGGGATGATGAGGAACCACCTCAGTCCTGTTACACAGGATGGCTTTGACAACATAGCTTTTTCCCTGTTTGCCTTGATTGAACTCCTCTTGTAGATTACCCAAATCTCCTGTATTTGCAACGCTACTGCTACCATTTCTCTGCTGTAACCTTGGTATTCAACTTCTTAGTAACCCCTATTTATCTGCAATGCCTTAATTCAGATCTCTGCCCCTCGCCCTCCCCAACAAGCACCTCACCCTCCCTGCTTCCATGTTACATGGAGTCCCAGCACATGGAAGACAATGGGTGATTAAAATAATAATACAGTTTTGAAACTATTTAGATGATGAATTGGAGTGCTTAGTTACTGGATCATGCGTAGTTATGTGACTTACATATAAAAATAATAAATTACTATATTGAGTAATAGAACTCTGCTTAGGTGAATTTTGTTTTCAGGCATTGTAAAGACAGTATATAATGCAGAGATACATCTGCATGTAAAGGTTTTTGCAGTTTATGTAATTTTATTTTCAAAAATAATCAGAAATGTAGGATGGATGCTTTATACTACCAACATGTTCAGTATTAATTTTCCAGCTGCATATTATTAACCTGATATAGGGGCAGGGTAAAAGTGAAGATGGTAATAGTGGTGATTCCCTTTCTTACGGCTGAGGAGAGGGGCAGGACACGGTTTTGGTGGGGAAGGAGGAGAATGCAACTGTTGGGCAGAGCCTCGTTTCCTTTTTAATTGTAGTTTTAAAATGGAAGCAATAAACTGATGTTCATGTATTACAGTAAGGCAAATTGCAGAAGGAGAAAGGTGAAAGTATATGTGCAAAGCATATGTACAGAAATAGACACAAGACACAGCTTTGAAAGCAGAGGGCTGAGAACAGAGCAAAGCAATCCCAGGCAGCCTGGCAGGGCAAAAGAGAGGGCTGCTCTCTGCCTGCCGGGGAGTCGTGTGGGGAAGGGAGGGAGAGCGGAGGAAGAAGCTGCTAGATCCTGCTGTACTGGCTTGTGTTTACAGACCGTTTTATGCATTTTTGTGTGCATTATTGTTTGGGGTTTTTTTCAAGCGAAGATTTCCCCAGTCACATCAGTAAGTAGTAGAACAGAACTAAAAAATTAGAAGAAGGGTTAAAATGATTTATTTTTTTACTCTGAAAATTTGGGAATCAAATATCATGACACAGGAGAAGGCAGGAGAGAGCTGACTCATGATTTGCAAGTGATGGAGGCTCACACTGCAGTTTCCCCTAACTTCACTTTAAGAGAAGGAAAGAAAACCAGGACGTTTTTTCAAAGCTCAGGATTGCATAGAGTCATGTATAGTTTTTGAAAGAAGGTTTGTCAGCGTGCATTGATACACTTAAACTAAGGTGTGCAATAAACCAGCAAATTATTTTTTTCAATTAGTATTTAAATATGAAATAGAATTGACTACAGTGTGGTTTTTGTGATAAGAAATGTATTATTTTGGACTCACAAGACTCAAGATGTAAATTTTTTTTTTTTGTTGTTGTTGTCAGGTGAGTGTAAGTGTGAGGACACGTGGTCCGGATGCATAATGGGAGACACGGGGTAAGGCATTTCACTAGAGGAAAGTCATGTCCTTCGTACAATGACATAAAGGAAAGGTGTGAAAACGTTTGCCTTTTGTGGTTCAGCAGCAGAATATTTTCTCTGAATCATTTTTCAGAAAGTAAGGTATTAGCTGTACAACATATGTAGAAAAGACACTTTCAAAGAAATGTGTGAATAAGTGAGTTAACGAGAGGATATGTGAGGATTTTTAGTGACTGTTGGTTTAACTCACAAAGCAGAGGGCTCAACAGCCAAGCCAGGTCATTGCAGAGAAGCAGAAGCATGCTCAGCTTCTTTTCTCCTGCGAGTTTGCTTTTAAGGTGTGGGAACAAACAGTGACACATGCTAATTCTTGAAATACTATTGTCAAATTGCTTAAGTATGTCTCATTTTCAGTGTTTCTGTTGGAATCTTTCATCTGTATCTATTATTTTTTTATCCTCCAGTTTGTGTGATAATGTTAGAAAAACTGCTCCCATTGGAGGTTGAATATGCTTATTGCCCACATGTGATGTGACCGGAGAGATTTTATCTGAAGACTAGTGAATCAGCAAATTTTTGCTGCTAGATGAAATTTGATGCTAACGTGTGTATTCAGACCTTAATTCTTCATATTACAGGCCTGGTTTTTGTCATGTATATGAATTAAACTGTAGTCTAGTTTTAGATATAGACAGTGCTTTTTAATTTCAAAATGACCTGCAAATTTTCACAATAGCTTTGTGGTCAGAACAATTTTGAACAAAGAAGCATATTTCATTGAAAGCTCTTTGGAAGTGTGAATGTGTGCCTTTTTCACCTTGTCTACCTAAAAAACGTACTAGGTATGTGATTCCTTATCTAATGGTCTTTAAATTCTTTATCTGAAATCCAAACCTTTCAAATAATTAGGTACACAAAAAAAGCTTGTATTTACATAGCTTATTGATGAAGGATGGTGAATCCCACATTCTCTGTAGTTTTTAGACCTAAATCATAAACACTAGAGGTGGAAAAGATCAATTATGGTTTGCAAGCCATCACTCCTGGCAATGCAGGATTATTTTGTATAGCACTTCTGCTAATATTTTTTTATCCAGTGATGAGCTGATATGGGAAAGCCCTTGAGACTCCAAAATCTGCATGAAGCATAAGTACTTTCACGACTAAGGACCTAAATATAAAGATCATTTAAGTTACTTTGGGAAAAATTCTTTCCCAGTGGAAAGGATCCATGCAAAGATTCTCTGCATCATAATTGTTTTTAGGTGGTGCACTGTGCCTTAGGTTGGCACTCTGTACTCGAATGAAATGTATTCAGTGGGGCGCATGAGGGAGGGAAGGCGAAATGTTAGCTGATGTTTGTTAGAAGCATGTTTTAAAATGGCATGACTCTATTATATAAAAATTCTGTGGGCAAGGAGAGCAATTTCATCTAAGAGGGAAATGAACTATGAGCAATTTTTGTCTCCTGTGGTAAGTACGGGAAGAAATAAATGTATTTCTGAGATCAGGCCTGTTAGTGGAACAGGTCATGTTTGTGAAAATTACACACTGTGTGGTAAGATTTGTGGTATTTGGCATGAAATAACTTAGTGAAATGTTTTAGACCTCTCACTTTCCATTGCTGAAAGTTCTTTGTCATTTACTAAAATAACTTACAAATTAGATAGAGTTACAAGCAGAGAGTCACTCTGATTCTGAACAGTGTGATTTTGTACTTTTTCTAAAGTATAACATTATATTTCTCCTCTTATTTTGAAAAAAGAAAATACATTGTAAAAAGCACTATAGAAAGTAATCCTGCTACCTTTTTTCTGTGCAGGTATTATCTTCCAAGCAAGTTCTCCAAATGTGATATTGAAGAGTATCATGAATTTTTAAACAATGGAGGTGGAGCCTGCCTTTTCAATAAACCAACCAAAGTAAGCATTACCTTATTATTGAATATTATTTCTATTCTATTTCTAATTTAGATGAAACCAAGAAAAATGAAAATGTTAATGTTAGGAAAAAACCCACCTGTAATTTCGATATTTCTGGTTTTCTCTAAGTTCTGAATTTTCTGGTGACATAAGGCTCACAAGCCCTGGTCCTCATGGGGGACTTCAACCACCCCAACGTCTGTTGGAGGGACAACATGGCAGGGCATAAGCAATCTGGGAGTTTCCTGGAATGTGTCGATGATAACTTCCTTTTCCAAGTGGTAGAGGAGCCAACGAGGAGAGGTGCTATGCTGGACCTTGTTCTCACCAACAAGGAAGGGCTGGTGGGGAATGTGAAGCTCAAGGGCAGCCTGGGCTGCAGTGACCATGAAA